CGCCCGCGCCACGCATCACAGTTTATGGCAACCATGAGCTGAGAGCCCACTCCTTGGCTCTGTCTTTGTAGCCAGCTTCCTTGTTCCAATACCTGGGAGCTCTGCCACACTGAGGCACCCCCAGTCTTTCTGTCACCCCGAGGCTCCTGAGACCACACTGTCCCAGTTAGGGTTCCATCCCCTGCTTAGCCACTGGACTGACATCCCTCAGCAGAGCAGACTTCTAAAAGTTCCAATTTTGTGCTCCGCTGCTCTATCACTTGCCGGTAGTCAGCTGACGGAGACTCTCTCCCCCCACGGTTTATGTTCCCAAATATCGCCTCGGATTCACTTCTCTACACCTCTTACCTTCTGGAAAGTGGTTGCTTTTCTATTCACAGGATTGCTGCTGGTCTTTTCTTCAATCTCCTGTTGAGTTTGTAGGTGTTCAGAATGGTTTGATAGCTATCTAGCTGAATTCCTGGGACCATTCGAAATTTAGGTCTCCTACTCCTTTGCCATCTTAGTCCTCCACATCATTAGTTTTTGATGGTGTTCAACAACTCATTAGTTGCGTGTAATTTTTTGGTGTGTTTTCATCATTTGTATTGTTGCTTAGTCTTGGTTCATTTTTTTTTCTTTTAATAGTTTTGACTATTGACCTTGATACTTTTACGTGGAATTAGTTTTATACGACCTTTAGAATAAGTAGTGACTTGGGGTAGCTATTAAATTTCTTGGAGCTGCTTTTCTATTATTTTTGTGTAACATACAGTAACTTGTTCTGAGAGTTTTTTTAAAGATTTTATTTGTGAGAGAGAGAGAGCAAAAGCAGGGGTATCAGCAGAGGGAGAGGGAGAGGCAGGCTCCCCGCCGACTAGGGAGCCCAATGTGGGGCTTGATCCCAGGACCCTGAGATCATGACCTGAGCTGAAAGCAGATGTTTAACTGACTGATCCCCCAGGCACCCCAAAATTTCTTGATTCTGTTTCTTTGCTCTCCTTTTATCACACCATTTCCCCTTTTTTCATTATCATCTCTAGTTTGCTCAATTATATTCCTTTTGTGTCAATTTCTTCCATGGATCAGTTTTGAGAGTTCATAAGGGACTAGCCTTCACCAGATTGTTCAGCCCTTTTTTTTTTCAAGAGTTTATTTATTTATTTGTGAGAGAATGAGAGAGAGAGCATGAGTGGGGAGAGCGTCAGAGGGAGAAGCGGACTCCCCGCTGAGTAGGAAGCCTGATGCGGGAGTTGATCCCAGGACTCCAGGATCATGACGTGACCCGGAGGCAGTCGCTTAACCAACTGAGCCAGCCAGGCACCCCAAATTGTTCAGTCTTTAATGCAGCTACATTTCATTCACCTGCCATTGGAATTGGTAAACTTCTTTCCATTTTAAATTCTATTCTCAAATTGGCCTATTAAGTTCTCCAGTGAAAAATGCTTCCTTTCCTAGAATTCTGTTTTGAAGTTCATTATTCACTCTTTTGTTTCCCTTTGATTTCTCCTTCAAAGACACTGAAACCCTATTGATGTCTTGATAATTTGACCTCACCTACTTCTGTTTGGGGGTTACGAGGATACATTGTCACCTTGTTTTGTTGTAAATATTTTCTGTGGGTTTTGCTTTTTATATGTAATTGCTCTTTCAGTTCTATATGGTAATTTAGGAAGAATCTAAAACTTTCCTGCCACTGCCTTCTTCTATTCACAATCTTCTGTTACAAGCATTTTAATGACTAATACTTCCTCATGGAAATATACCATAATTTTCTCAATCACTCCTTATGTTGAAAACCTTTATACATGCTTTCCATCTTCAGAAGCCATCTCAAAACCTTCCTGTATAAAGTCTTTATAGTTTTAATGAGGAAATGACTATTAGTTATCCTCTGTCATATCCAACAATGTGTTTCTTTTACTACCCAGAACTGATTTGTTTCTTAGAGAAACTAAAATATAATGCGAACAACTAGAAAGAAATACATAATAACTTGAAATATGTTTATAGAAAACTAGACAAAAGAAACATTTTAAGTCATAGAGGACAAATACAAATGGTCTAACATACTAACACCAGTATTTCAGACAACAGACTGACAGATATACAAACAAAATAGAAATACTAGGTACTGGCAAATCACTTGTAGAGATATAAATTAATCCCCATTTTGGTTGTTCAGTTTGGGAACACTTAATGGAAATCCTTAAAAATATGTGTAATCTGCAAAGCAGGAATTTTAGTTCTATGATTTGATCATATGGGATAAGTAGATTATGTGTTTAAAATTTTAACTGTAGGAATATTTGTTGCACTGATATTTATAATATTGAAAATAAAAAATTATCCAAATATCTAAAAATAAAGCATTTAGTAAAATTAGGCGTATTCATGAAATGGAATACCTTACAGCCACTAGATTATGTTGTAGAATATTATTTAATGGTATGAATATATTTGCAGTGGGTTTTTTTTTAAGATTTTATTTATTTGAGATAGAGAGTGAGCACAAGCGGGGGGGGCGGGGGTTGGTGGGGCAGAGGTAGAGCGAGAAGCAGGGCAGGGAGCCTGATGTAGGGCTGGATCCCAGGACCCTGGGATCATGACCCAAGCTGAAGGCAGATGTTTAATCGACTAAGCCAGTGAGGCACCCCTATATTTGCAATGTTAAATGAAAAAACAGTTTATAAAATACCATAAATGGTGTATCCCACTTTCACAAAAATATATATACAAAAAAAATGTCTGGAAGGATGTACTCAAATTATTTTTAGGTGTTAGTATTAGAGATTTTTATTTTTTTTGTTTCTTGTGGATTTTTTTGAGATTTTTATTCTTAATTTTATTTATATTTTCTATAATTAACACTCATTTTGTATTGAGAAATAACGTACTGTTAAAATAGTCAAACAAAAATATAAATATATTCTCATTTGTTCATAGTTTTGAGATTTAAAAAAAATTTTTTTAAAGATTTTTAAAAATGTTAATGTGGGTACATAATGCATGTGTGTTTGTGTATGTAAATTGTTCTTTAAATAGATATGATTTTTGATAGTTCTGGATAGAGCCCCAAGTTTTTTTATATAGTGTCTGCATCTTGAAATAATGTATGAAATTTAGCCCTTTACTGATAACATATTAAATATTCAAAAAATGATAACATGGATGGTGATTTCACATATGACTTGCTTTGTACCATGTATCCTTAGGAGATATGATAAGAGGATTATCTTTATTTATAATATTGCTTTCATTTGATTTGAGACCTGGGTTATTTTTTCTGGATTTGAAATAAAGGTGTCCTCCCATACAACAGGCCTAGCTTATCAAAGAAAATAATTGCTTCTGCTTTTGAGAGAATATTTTCTCCCTTTGGCTGTAGAGTTTGGGGTTTATTTTTATTTTTTGGTACTTTATGATTTGAAAACTTTCATAATGAGTACAATTCTGTGGCCCAAACTTGTTTTCCAGTCATATTGCTAAGGTAGCAGCCAAGAGTATAGGCAGCTTTATCATACTGTCTGATTTAAATTTAGGCTTGATCACTTTACTCTCTGTAAAAGTTGCTCAGTCATGATTTTGACTTTCTAACTTTGGGTAAGTAATTTGACTTTTTGTGTTTGTTCTCATAGTTTAAGTGGGAATAATAAAAATACATATCTTCTTAGTATGTTCTAAGAACAGTTTGAAGGACTAAATGAGTGATTATATATGAAGAACTTAGCTTAGTAATAAGCCTTCATAAATATTTTTGTGTTTTTTTAAATTGAGATACAATTGACATATAGCATTGTATTAGTTTTAGGTGTACAACATAATGTTTGAAATGTATGTTTGCACACACACACACACATATATATATATAGTGAAATAATTATCACAACTAATTTAACATCCATTACCACATAGAGTTACAATTTTTTTCTTGTGGTGAGAATTTTTATGATCTAATCTCTTAGAAACTTTCAAACATATAATACAGTATTGTTAACTGTAGTCACCATGCTGTACATCACACCCCCAGGATTTATTTCTTATGTAACTGGAAGTTTGCACCTTTTGAGCACCTTCACTCATTTGACCATAAGTACTGTTATTAGTTCTTACTACTTTACTCTTTTCTCACTTATTCATTTATTTAACACATACTTATTGATTGATTGCCTTCCATATGCCAGGTGCAGTACCAGATATAGAAACGTCAGTGAGCAAAACAAAGTCATTGCCCTCATGAAACTTATATTCTACTGCAGAAGACTGCAAATGAATATTTGATGTTAGGCAAGTCCTTTGAAGAAAAATAAACAGAATAAAGAGATGGCAGATAGTACAGGGTGTTACTTAAGATTGGGTATTCATTTTAGCTTGGACCATGCCACCTTTCCCAACTCCCAGCCCAAACAAACACACATATATCCAATATCTATATGTTAAAATTCAGTCCATCCTTCAAGAGATAGCAGACATGGTACTTCCTTCTTGAAACCTTTCCTCCTCACCCTCACTGACTGAATAGTGCTTTTGTTTCCCTTTTGAACTCCTATAGCACTCTAACACTCTAATGGGCACTTACTGGTTGATATTATAGGGGTGTGTGTGTGTGTGTTTTAAACCTCTCTTTCTACACTGTGTAGTTGTGAGGAACAGGCATATGTCCTTATATCCTTAGCATTTATCACAACTGATGTGCAGCAAAGGTTTGATAAATCAATGAAATCCTTTTTTTAATTTAAATTCAGTTAGCCAACTTGTACATCATTAGTTTCAGATGTGTTCAATAATTTATCAGTTTCATATAATACCCAGTGCTCATCACATCATGTGCCTTCCTTAAGTCAATGAAATCTTAAGTAAAACAATTTCTTCAGTGTTTTCCAAAGCAATTGTGAACACCAGAATTTCATAAAGATTACTTTTACTTTCATCTATATACTGTTATACTCACTGTAGTCTGTAGCAATGCTATGTTATTTTTTAACCAGCATCATCATCATCATTATTTATTTATCTTGCAGGAGCATCTTTCTTTAAAGAAGTATATTATTGACATTGTGGTTGAAAGTGCAGCTCTACCAGAGCCTTTGAAAGATGGAGAAGAGCGGCAGAAAAATAAAAAAAAAGCCAAAAAGATAAAAGCCCGGATGAACTCCAGGTACCATAAATATCCTTAAAAACAAAACAAAACAGAAACTGTTAGTGATATATCCTTTTTAATGTAAATCTAAGGAAGACCCTCTGCCTGGCACAAAAGTTTAAACTTGTTTGCTTTAAGAAAGCCTTGAAAATAATACTGATGAGCCTAATTTATAGCCACTTTCTTTGATTGAGAAAGAAAACTGTGTATTGATCTAAAGCCCTTGCTTTCACCTGTTAAGAGCTCTTCTTATAATTGGATGCCAAAGCCCTGCCAAACTTGTGCCTCCTCCAGCATACAGTAGTATGTTTAAGTATGTGTAAACTAAGCCTATTTTTCTTTCCAACTATTGATTTTTAAATGAGGTATCAAAGAAAATCAATAGCAATCAACAAATAGAAGTCTGCTGGCTGTAGTGTCAAATCCCATGACTAGGTTTAATCAATTTGGTTGCCTGTCACAATAAGAAAAGTTCAAGAAATATCTTGAAATGGAAAGTGAGTTGTCAGACCTGTAGTTTATCATCAGCCTCCAAAGTAACATCTGAGGATCAGACAGCTGTGTAGTATATCATTACCTCACATGCTTTGAGCATCACCTGATGACTGATGAGTCTTATTCAGGACACAAATGTAGTTCCTCTGTAGTAGATAATTTTGTGCTATTTGGGGGAAGGTAATCTAAATATGTTGTTTTACCTTTATTACCAAATGTTTTGAAAGTTGGAGAAGCTTGACCCATGGGATTATAGAAATATAGTTCTAGAAGGTGAAATGGTGGTTATCGCTTTCCAATTTCAGATTGTAGTTAAAGGTGTCCGTTTCATCTTCCAGAATCAACGAAAACTTGCAGAGTACTCATTCAAGCAAAGAATTTATTTTTTGAGATTCCTCTAAGTTTCTAAAAATAGTTTCACAGTATACTTGAAGGTATTACTGACCTTCATTTCTAGTTATGCTAAGAACCTGCTGTCCTCCTGACACTGAAATACATACAGCCCATTTTTGTGAGTTCTTTTTTTCCTCTGTGTACACATTCCCTTGCTAAGCTCCCCCAGTCCTGTGTCTCCAAATATCCTCTACTTAGTGATGACCACCAATTTAATATCTTCAATTTTATTCAAACACAAACTCCTGTTCTCTCCCTCACCCCATTCTCCAAAACCCCTCTTTGTCCCATAGTTTTCTCTGTCTCAGTAAAGGGATACTCTATTCTAGCTTTGTATGCCAAAACTCTTGAAGTTATCCTTGACTTTTCTCTTTCTCCCACACCTGACATCCAGTCCAACTGCAAATAATGTTAGCTTGATTTAAAATATATTCAGAATTTGACTACGTCTAACTTCACTGCTTCCCCTGAACCCAGTCCTTTGTCATCTCTCGCCTGAATTACTGCAGTAGCTCTGTGACTAGTATCCTTGTTTCTGTCCTTGCCTCCTTGCAGTTTATTCCAAATACTCTAGCCAGAGTATTAAAATGTAAGTTAGATCATGTCACTTCTCTGCTCAAAACCTCAGGTTTCCTCTTCCCACATATATCCATACACCCATCTGCCTTATGTCCTCCTGGTCTTTGCTCACATGTTCCCTTTTTGGTGAGGCTGTCCTCAGGAGCTTGACTTTTGTTTTTTGAAACATAAGTAGTGGTAATTTATTAAACAAAACCTTAAAATTATAGAAAAAAATACCTATAATTCTGTTGCTAATATTTTGACATATATATCCTTTTTATACATACCTACCTATATCTACAGATTTTATTCTTCATTGCAGTATGATTTATTTAAGTGAAATGTGGAGATATCCAGTATGGTTTGTTGACTTTTGACAAATCTAGCTATTCCAGGTAATCCATACTCCCATCAAAATTGTCTTTGTGCCTCTTTCCAGTCAGTTTCGTACCACCTCTGGCCTTTGGTAATCACTGACCTGCTTTCTATCATTACAGATTACTTTTTCCTGTTCAGGAAAGGCATACCAATGAAATCAAACTCCCCTGTGGCTAGCTTCTTTTACTAAGTGTACTATTTTTGAGATATATCAGTGTTGTTGCGTGTAGGTACTTTGATTCTTTTTATTATTGTACATATTCATTGTGTGCATATCCTACAATTTTTATTTATTCATCTGTTGATAGACTTTTGGGTTTCCAGTTTTGGGCATTTATAAATTAAGCTCCCCTCAAGTCTTTGAGTGTATATGAGTTTTCATTTCTCCTGGGTAAATACCTAGAAGTGGAATACCACATCATTTTCCATAGTGGTTGTACTCTTTTACATTCCTATCAGCAATATGTGGGACTTCCAGTTGCTCCATAGTCTTGCCAGTACACACTTGATATTGTTAATTTTTTAAATTTTTAGCCTATTTCAGCAGGAGTGTCAAAGTATCTCAATGTAGTTCTAATTTGCATTTTCCTAGTGACTAATAATATATATTGAGCATTTTTTCATGTGCATTTTAACCATTCAGTATCTTTCTTTATGTGTCTGTTGAAGGTTTTTGCCTATTTTAAAAGTTGAGTTGTCACCTTACTTCTGAGTTGTTTATATATTCTGACCACAAAGTTCGTTGTCAGATGTGTGCTTTACAAATTTATTCTTGCAGTCTGGAAATTGCCTTTTACACTTTCTTTAAGATAGCTTTTGACAAGCAAAGGTTTTTACTTGTGATGATGTCTATTTTAGGGTTTTGGGTTCTAAGAGGTCTCTGAACAAAGGTAAAAATCCTCCTGTATTTTTTTCTAGAAGCTTTGTAAGTTTTATTTTTGCATTTAGGCTTATGATTCATCTCAAATAAATTAATGGGTATGATATGAAACATTAGTCCAAGTTTATTTTTCCATGTAGGTAGCCAGTTGTTCCAACATTGGCTGAAAAGGTTTCTTTTTCCATTACACTGTTAGCACTTTGCATAAAAAAAAAAAAAAAAGGAAGGAAGGAAAGAAAGAAAGAAAGGAAAGAAAGAAAAGAAAAACTCTTCCCTTTGTGTGTGAGTCTGTTTCTGGACTGTTCCATTCTTTTATTTTAAAACCTTGATAAAAAATAGAAATCAACCTTTGAAGTGTAGATCCATTTCTGGACTCTCTGGTCAGTTCTATTTCATTGATATATTCATCTATCTTCAAACTGTCTTGATTACCATGGCTTTATACTAAGTCTTGAAATGAAGTCCTCCAACTTTGTTTTCTTTTTTGAAATTGTTTTGTTTTTCCAAGGTCTTTTGTTTTCACATAAATATTAAGATCAATTTTTAGTTTCTAAAATAAAAAAGCCAGTTAGGATTTTGATTGGGGTTGCATTGAATCTACAGATCAGCTTAGGAAGAACTGACATCTCTATCTGATAGTGTGGGGTCCTCCACCCATGATTAAGGTGTTTAGCTTCTAGTAATATTTTGTAATTTTCAGTGTAGAAGTTTTACAAATATCTTACTAAATTTATCCCTAGCATTTTTAGTTTTTTGATGCTATTGAAAATAATTTTACTTCATTTTGTTGTTGTTGTTAGTATATAGAAACAATTTGATTTTTGCATATTAACCTTACATACTCGGACCTTGCCATATTGACTTATGAGCTCTAATAGCTTTGTGAATTTATAAGATTTCTTTATGTACATAAACATATCTGAGAAAAAAACAGTTTTTTCAATTATATACTGTTTACTTCTTTTCATTGTCTATGACACTGCATTGCATCTTCAGCAAAATTTTGAACAGAAGTTTTGGTCCTGGGGTGCCTGGGTGGCTCAGTCGTTGAACGTCTGCCTTCAGCTCAGGTCATGGTCCCAGGGTCCTGTGATCGAGCCCCACATCGGGCTCCCTGCTCGGCGGGAAGCGTGTTTCTCCCTCTCCCACTCCTCCTGCTTGTGTTCCCTCTCTCAGTGTTTCTCTCTCTGTCAAATAAATAAAATCTTTAAAAAAAAAAAAAGTTTTGGTCCTGTTTTTAGGGAGAAAGCAATTAGTTTTTCACATTAAGGTATTATGTTAGCTGGAGATGTTGACCTTAGGGGAGGCTAAGCATGTGTGGGACAGCAGGGTATGTAGGGGAATCTTTGTACCTTCTCTTAATTTTTCTGTGAACCTCAAATTTCTATAAAAAATAAAGTCTTTAAAAATTTTTGTCTTTTTAAACCTGTAAGGATCTATAGTAATACCCCCTTTTTCATTCCTGATAATTATAATTATTCTTTGATTATTCTGGCCAGGAATTTATCAGCTTTATTATTAATCTTTTCAAGAATGAACTTTTGCTGTCATTGACTTTTCTTTATTTTTTCTATTTCACTTATGTTTTTAATTATTTTTTCTGTCTTTACTTGGTATTTTTTTTGTTTTTCCCTCTAGATTCGTAAGGTAAAAACTTAAGATTACTGATTTGAAACCAGACTCCTTTTCTAATATATGCAATTACAGCTATAAATTTCCCTCTAAGCTATTTTATATGTTGTGTTTTATTTTTTATTCAGTACAAAATATTTTCCAATTTCACTTCAAATTCTTTGACCCATTGGTTACTTAGAAGTGTAAGTGCTAAATTTCCAAATAATTGGGAACTTTCCAGATATCTTTTTGTCTTGATATTTAATTTCCTGTGGTGAGAGAAGATACTGTGCATAATTTCAATTCCTTTAAATTTATTGAGACTTGTTTTATGCCCAGCATCTGGTTTGTCTTGGTCAGTGTTGCATGTTTACTTGAAGAGCATGTATATATTTCTTGTGGTAGGTGTAGTTTCTATAATGTCAGTTAGGTCTAGTTGGGTAATAGTGCTGTTAAAGTCTTCCACTTGTATCTCTAATAATTGTCTATTTCATATTGTATCAGTTACATAAAGAAGAATATTCATATTTCCAATTATTTCACACTTATATCTCACACTTCAGTATTTTCCAGTTTTGCTTCAAGTTTTGAAGCTTTGTTGATAAATACATACAAATTTAGATAAATACATACAAATAGATTTTATCTCCTTGAAAAATTGATCCCATTACCATTATAAAGTGTCCTTTTTTTTTGT